TAATCATCTCATTTGAGGAAGAAGATGCTGAATTGGAACCTGAAACTCTGTCTGAAGAAGACATCAGACTCTTTGCTGAAGATCTTGAGAAAGAAATGATGGAAGCAACGGCTGGAACTCAGGGGGAGTTAGAGGAAGGAAACATAATGGAAGTACTGGCTGAAACTCAGGGGGAGCCTGCTAAAAATGACTCACTGGAAGACAAGCTCTGAAGCTGGAAGAATAAAAATAATAACATGAACTACCTTGATGTGTTATGCTTTGTTGTCTTGCTTTTATGAACAGTATGATCGATCTTAAAGTGTCCTGAGAATTGAATGACCATAATGGTCTAAATAAAATGTGTGGTTTGTGTTTATGTCCGCTATGTTTATGTGTAGTCATAATGGTCTTCCTTTCATTTCTTAAACACTTGTTGTGCTGCTTTACTGTGATGATTTTCTTTCTGCTATCAGGAATAAAGGCTTGATCGCAGGGGGAGATTGTTGGGCCTTGTCGTTCGCCCATTCAAATCCACTGCAGGCCTGAAGACACCAATGGCCCACTAACCAAACCCATTAAACGTCTTCCCACTCCAAGACCTCTTCAAGCGTCTGCGCCTTTACTCTTCACATCAAAATCATCGAAGACTGGCGAAGGAGTTCCCTGCACATCGATCGTCGTCCTCATCAAAGCAACACAACGGTAATCTGCAATAAAGAAGGAAGAGCGAGGTGATGCTTGCTGAGATTATATATAGAGCAAAACACGAAGAAGAAGGCAACGGTTTCTCTGACTCAGTAGAACTGGTTAGTTCTTTGGGAGCTCTCGGATTGGGTTCTGTGTTATAGTGTCTGGTTGAATTAGAGTTGGGGCTCCAAGCCAGGAACTCTAATTCATCTGGGCGTAGCTCTCTCTTTCGTGTCTTTCGTCTCTCTTGTTGTTCCTGGATTTTAGGGACTTGTTTATTTCCGTCTTGTTTTTAGGGTTTGAACTCAGAATCTATCTAAGTAATTGAATCAATCAATATCATTCTCTTCTCTCCGTCTGTTTAAATCAAGGATACAATTCTAGTTGATTGATTGTGTGTGAATGAATCAAAGACATAGTTGAATAACAGCTACAAATCACGGATTCGGTTTAAGGCTATTCTTCAACGATGATTAAGTCCATTAAGCACTGATTTGGCATATTTCTGCAAGGTCTATATTTGGTAGATTCCATAGATGTACCATGACAGATTTCGGGCGATTTTTCCGAAATCCTATTTCCTTTCGATTATGGAGGCTACAGATCACGGATTCACCTGAGGTTATTCTCCACTGATAATTGAGTCTATTGATCCTACTCTCCCCCGATGATTATGTCCATTAAGCACCAATTTTGGGCAAATTTATTTTTGGATGACATTTTCATAATTGTAAGGGAGAATTTTTTCGAAAGGCCTTTTTCCTTGAAGTTTGAAGGCTACAGATCACAGACTCAACCTGAGGATATTCTTCAACGATGATTTAGTCCATTAAGCACAGATTTGGCGGATTTCTTCTGGGTCCATTTTTGGCAAATTCCAAAGGGGTACCACTATAGATTTTGTCGATTTTTCCAAAGTCCCATTTTTTGCAATTCTGGAGGCTTCAGATCAAGGATTCAGCCCAAGGTTAATCTCAATGTTGTCAGAATCGAACCAGATCATGACGCGGTAATGCGAACGCCTCGCACTTTAGTGGTCCAACCGACATTAGACTGTTTAAAAACCGTTAGAGAACCAGTACCTAATAAACGTTATCAGTATAAGTAGTGGACATTTCTTAATCATAGCTCGTCTCTTTCCTTCAAAATTGTGAAATGGAAATAAAGATTCAGTTTGAGAGCCCGGCGTTTTTGGTTTACTTCAATTTTTAATTTTCTGCACTTTTTTAATTAAATTTAACTACTTAATTGCAAAAATCGGAAGAGCGGCTCGATCAGCTCGAGCGGTTAACCGCCTCAGCCGCTACATAAAACCGGAGCGGCTTTTAGACTGTTTTGAGGCGGTTTTGGGAGAATTTATTCGAAAGGCCTTTTTCCTTGGAGTTAGAAGGCTACAAATCACGGATTCGGCCTGAGGCTATTCTTCAACGATGATTAAGTCCATTAGGCACCAATTTGGGAGTATTTTTTCCGGGCCCATTTTTGGCAGTTTCCAACGAGGTACCATCACAGATTTCGGCTGATATTTCTGAAATCCAAATTTCTTCTTATTTTGGAGGCTACTGATCAAGAATTCACCCGAGGTTATTCTCCACCGATAATGGAGTCTATTGATCCTATTCTCCACTGGTGATTAAGTCCATTAAGCACCTATGATTAAGTACAGTAAACACTGATTTGGGCGAATTTATTTTTAGATGGCATTTTCGTAATTGTTGGTGAGAATTTTTTCAAAAGGCCTTTTTTCTTGCAGTTTTAAGGCGAGAGATCACGGATTCGGCCTAAGGCTATTCTTCAACGGTAATTAAGTCCATTAAGCACCTATTTGGATGAATTTTTTCAAGTTCCATTTTTGGGAGATTCCAAAGGGGTACCATCATAAATTTCAAGCGATTTTTCTGAAATCCCCTTTTCTTTTGATTTTGGATGCAATATACCAAGGATTTAGCTTGAGGATATTATCCATAGATTATGAATTCTATCGATCCTATTCTCCACAATGATTAAATCCATTAAGCACTTATTTGGGGGAATTAATTTTCATATAGTTCTTTCGTAATTTTTTCCTTTGATTTTGAAAGCTAAATATCACGGATTCGGCCTGAGACTATTCTTCAACGATGATTAACTGCATTAAGCAATGATTTGGGAGAATTTATTCCTGGTCCATTTTAGGCAGATTGCGAAGGGGGTACCATCACACATTTTAGGCGATTTTTCTAAAATATAATTTTCTTGCGATTTTGGAGGTTACAGATCAAGGATTTAGCACGAGGTTACACTGCACCGATAATGGAGTCTATTGGTTTTATTCTCCACCGATGATTAAGTTCATTAAGCACCAATTTGAACGAATTTCTTCAGGATCCATTTTTGGCAGATTCCGATGGACTACCATCACAGATTTTGGGCGATTGTTCCGAAATCACATTTTCTTTCGATTTTGGAGGCTAATGATCAGGGATTTAGTCTGCGGATATTTTTTCCGATAATAAAGTCTATTGATCTTATTCTCCACCGATGATTAAGTTCATTAAGCGCCAATTTAGGCGAATTTACTTTCGAGTGACATTTTTGTAATTCTTTTGGTGATTTTCCTTGGATTTTGAAGGCTATAGATCACGGATTCGGCCTGAGACTATTCTTCAACGATGATTAACTGCTTTAAGCAATTATTTGGGAGAATTTCTTCCTGGTCCATTTTAGACAGATTCCGAAGGGGTACCATCACAAATTTTAGGCGATTTTTCTAAAATCGCATTTTCTTGCAATTCTGGAGGTTACAGATAAAGGATTTAGCACCGGGTTACACTACACCGATAATGGAGTCTATTGGTTTTATTCTTCACCAATGATTAAGTTCATTAAGCACCAATTTGGATGAATTTCTTCAGGATCCATTTTTGGCATATTCCGATGGACTACCATCACAGATTTCGGCCGATTGTTCCGAAATCACATTTTCTTTCGATTTTGGAGGCTAAAGATCAGGGATTTAGTCTGAGGCTATTTTTCCGATAATAAAGTCTATTGATCTTATTCTCCACCGATGATTAAGTTCATTAAGCACCAATTTGGGCGAATTTACTTTCGAATTATATTTTTGTAGTTCTTTTGGTGATTTTCCTTGGATTTTGAAGGCTATAGATCACGGATTCAACCCAAGGCTATTCTCCACCGATAGTGAAGTCTATTGATCCTATTCTTCATTGATGATTAAGTCCATTAAGCACAAAATTGAACCAATTTATTTTGGGATGGCAATTTCGTAATTCTTTGGGCAATTTTTCGAAAGTCCATTTTCTTTGGATTTTGAAGGCTACAGATCATAGATTCGGCTTGATGTTATTTTTCAACGATGATTAAATCCATTAAGCACGGATTTGGGCGAATTTATCTCGGGTACATTTTTGGCAGATTCTAAAGGGGGTACCATCACAGATTTCGGGCAATTTTTCCAAAATGCCATTTTCTTTCGATTTTGGAGGGTACCGATCACATATTCAACCCGAGGCTATTCTCCAACTATAGTGAATTGTATTGATCCTATTCTCCATCAATGATTACGTCCATTAAGCACAGAATTGGGCCAATTTATTTTGGGATGACATTTTCATAATTCTTTTGGCAATTTTTTTTCGAAAGTCGTTTTTCCTAGAATTTTGAATGCTACAGATCACGGATTCGGCCTGAGGCTATTCTTTAAAGATTAGTAAATCCATTAAGCACCGATTTTGGTGGATTTCTTCCGGGTCCATTTTTGGCAGATTCCAAAGGGGTAACATCACAGATTCAGCCCGAGGCTATTCTCCACCGATAATGAAGTCTATTGATCCTATTCTCCACAGATGATTAAGTACATTAAGCGCAAAATTGGGCCAATTTCTTTTGAGATGACATTTTCTTAATTTTTGGGCGATTTTTCTTCGAAAGTCCATTTTACTTACATTTTTAAGGCTACTGATCACAGTTTCGGCTTGAGACTATTCTTCAATGACGATTAAGTTCATTAAGTACGGATTTGGCCTGATTTCTTACGGGTCCACTTTTGGCAGATTCCAAAGGGGTATCATCACAGATTTCAGGTGATGTTTCTGAAATGCCATTTTCTTTCGATTTTGGAGGCTACAGATCACCGATTCAACCCTAGGCTATTCTCCACCGATAGTGAAGTCTATTGATCCAATTCTCCACCAATGATTCAGTCCATTAAGCACATAATTGGGCCAATTTATTTTGGGATGGCATTTTTGTAATTCTTTGGGCAATTTTGTTTGGAAATGCCATTTTCTTAGGATTTTGAAGGCTACAGATTTCAGGTGATTTTACCTAAATGCCATTTTCTTTCATTTTGGAGGCTATTGATAAGGTATTCAGGTCGAGGATCTTCTCTAGCGATAGTGAAGTCTATTGATCCTATTATCCACCGATGATTATGTCCATTAAGCACAAAATTGGGCCAATTATTTTGGAATGACATTTTCTTAATTCTTTTGGCAATTTTGTTTTGAAAGGTCATTTTCCTTGGATATTGAAGGCTATAGATTACGGATTGGACCTGAGGCTAATCTTAAAAAAAGATTAAGTCCATTTAGCATGATTTGGGCGAATTTCTTCAGGGTCCATTTTTGGAAGATACAAAAGGGGAACCATCACAGATTTCGAACGATTTCTTAGAATTGCCATTTTCTTTCAATTTTGGTGGCTGCATATCACGCATTCAGTCCGAGGCTGTTCTCTACCGATAGTGGTGTCAATTGATCCTATTATCCACCGATGATTAAGTTTATTAAGCACAAAATTGGGCCAATTTATTTTGGGGTGACATTTTCGTAATTCTTTGGCCGATTTATTTTCGACAGACCATTTTCCTTGGATATTGAAGGCAACAGATTATGTATTCGGCCTGAGGCTATTCTTCAACGATGATTAACTCCATTATGTTGGATCAAGCGAGGTCAATAATGAATACTTTTGGCGTGGTCAGTGCACAAATTAATTCTGATTTCAATAGAGAGAGATTAGCACTAGCTTGATTAAGCAATCCAAAAGGACTTTCCAAGAATCTCTCTTGAAGTGATTAATTTGTTGGCACTGATGAAGAGAAAAAGTTAGAGAAGATATAGAGAGAGATGAGTCGGGACACGCGATTTTAATATGGTTCGGCCAATATGGCTTTACATCCACGTCCTGGAGATAGTTACCACTATCTCACGAGAGATTCTAACTTTTATTAAAATAAAAGACACTCTAACCTATGGAATTGAAACAACCTTGACACTTCATGTCAAGAACCAAATAGGTGGAACTCCACACCTATTCAACCCTTAGCTAAATCCGAGCTAAGCTACCCACTCAATCAATCAAGCCAACACTCTTAGTTTGACTTGATTGAAGAGTAATCCACCTAGTGCAACTCCCAAGCAAGAATCCCCTCTTGCTCTTGCACTAGTCCCAATTACAAATACCCTTTCTACCCTAAAACCCAACCTAGCTTGAATATCTTAACCCCCGAGATATCAAGCTATTCACACCACGAAATATGATCACACAATTTTGCTATTACAAGGGAAAAGGGAACTTTATATGGCAAGTATCTACTTGATTTGATATGCTCTTCACTTGATATGGTAGCTTCTTGAAGGCCAAGCAATTGCTTTGAATTCTTTCCTTTTCTTAGCAAATCTTTTCAAGACCTTGATTGTGATATTCCAGCAAGAAATGTTAGTCTAACATAAAAGCACAATTTCAAGACAACATAAAATTGCTAAGTCAAGCTTTTTGACTCAACAATCTCCCCCTAAGCTTGATTTAGCATCCTATTGCAGCATATGCTTTTCCATATAGCGATCACAGATCTCAATACTCATCCAACTAATAAATAGAAACTTCAAATAATATAGACCACGATATTCATCCTGAGTATAGCTCAGGGTTTTAAAAGTTTCATTCATCCTAAGCCTAGCTTAGGGCATTATTGAGACCATTCGCAGTTAATTTGACAAACTCGGAAAAAAAAACAAGCCGAAACAATTTCCAAATACTCCCCCTAAGAGTCTTAATCCAAACTCCCCTTAAACTATTTCTCTTAATTGTTTTGATCAAGATCCTGATTTTCATACATAACCACTCCCTTGGATGCATTCTGTTCTTTGAGACGCTTAAGCACTTTCTTAGAAGGACGAGGTCCTTTGGCCCGATGTTTAAGCTTGAATGGGCGAATGGAGGTGGAATCAGATGCAGCAATTTCCGCGGACGCGCCTCCTTCAGCAGTTCCCTCTCCATTAAATCCATTAGGTGCGTCCACTGCATCTTCTCCCCTCTGATGTTAAATCAATGAGGGGGAGCCCGACAGCCCCGAGAACATCATCAAGAGTGGGACTGACAAAGTCAGTAGTGGCAAAGACAAAGTCAGTGAGAGGAACACCCACACGATGAAGCAGCTGAGTAACCAAGCCAGCAAAAGGTAGATCAGCCGCAGGAGACTCGTTGGCAGCAACATCTATGATCGCTCCAAACAACAGATGAGGATAACTGAGAGACATGTAGGAGACAACATGCAACATAATCCAGCAATCATGAGGGAGGACGATATTCAGGGAATCTGTCCGTGGAAAATACACCCTAGTGATGTAATAATGAAGAAGTTTGAGAGAATCGTCCAACTCTGCAAGAGGACGATTCATGGCAGCCTGGTGCAAATCAAACTTGTACGACCAGAATTGCAGAGAACTCATAAGCTTCTTGCTGAGATAGGGAAGAACAAGGAAGGCAACAATATCCTCGACAGTGAGAGTAAGAAGATTACCAAACACCAAGGTGGTAAACTTCCCTGTCTCCAGGCCATCTGTGCAAAGATTAGAGTAGAACTCCCGACCTGTTGCTGGGCAGCAGACGCGAGGTGGAGAATCTCTCATTTCGAGCCACCCAAGACTATCAATGAGGGAGATTGGATCCACATAATCGAGGAAGGCAAAAGCATAGGGACCCAGGGTGTTGATCGACAGGATGGGCTTCTCAGCAAAAATTTGCATATGGCGATGACCATTTTCGCCCACTAGAGGGTGAAACATCGCACCGGTGTAGGTAAGAACACGTTGCTGGCGGCGGAAGAGATCATTTGTCATGACGAATGATTCATCAGTCAAAAGGCACATGATTGCGGATTTAGCCAGGTAACGAGAAGAAGTGGTGATGCGGTGAGGGATGCGAAGAGAAATGAAGAAGGGCCATTATATATAGATGCTGGAGCACCGGCGTTTTCGTCGGAAGAGCTCGAGTTTCTCATAGGCGGCAATTTTGGGAAGAAAGGCAGAAAGGGAATGAGCGCGATTGGGAATCAATTATTGGGGGAAGGAGCGCGATTTGGCTGTGTAGGGAAATGGGAAGGGGGATCGCTGGGCGAGAATCGGCGGTGAGGATACGACTGAAAATCATAATCGGAGAAGAAGGGGAAAGGGTCGCGCTGGAAAGCTTCAAGACCTTGCTGGAAGAGACGAGGTCGTCGCGCATCGTGGATTGCCGTTTTGATTTTCGTTTATCGTTTTCGTTTTCGTTTTTTTATGTTATGTCGTTAGTGAGGTTTATTATCAACCTTTATTAGAGAGGGTACTAGATCAACACAAAAATAAAAAAACAAATTAGTGAACGAATATTCAAGAAAAAGTAAGTTCAGGATTCAAAACTGACAAGATCAGATTGGAAAATCATTCCTAACTCACTACGAACAAATAGGAACTTATCTATAGGGAGTGGTTTAGTAAAAATATTCGATAGTTGATCACTCGTAGGTATAAAAGAAATAGACATGGTTTTACTCTGAACTAGCTCTCGAAGGAAATGGTATTTAATCTCTATATGTTTTGTTCTAGAGTGTTGAACCGGGTTTTTGGACATATTAATAGCACTCGTATTATCACATAAAGTGGGAACGGTAGGAAGTGTAATCTCATAGTTCGCTAGTTGAGTCCTTAACCATAGAAGTTGTTGACAACAACTTCCTGCGGCAATATACTCAGCTTCAGCGGTGGAGAGGGCTACGGAGTGTTGTTTCTTACTAAACCACAAAATTAAAGATCAACCATAAAATTGACAAGTTCCAGAGGTACTTTTTCTATTCGTTCTACTGCCAGCAAGTCTGAATCACTAAACCCTATAAGCTCAGGATTTGTTTCCCTAGGATACCATAGGCCTAGAGTAGGTGTACCTTTCAAGTAGCGGAAGATGCGCTTAATGACACTAAGATGACTTTCCTTAGGCTTGGACTGAAAACGAGCACACATATAGACACTGAACATAATGTCTGGCCTACTTGCCGTGAGATAGAGAAGCGATCCTATCATCCCACGGTATTTACGTTCATCAACATCTATACCACCTTCATCTTTGTCTAATTGAATATTGGTAGCCATTGGGGTCGAACTAGGATTAAGATTACTAAGATCAAACTTGGACAACATTGACTGAGTATAGTTTGTCTGACTAATGAAAATTCCTTTTGAGGTTTGTTGGATTTGAAGCCCTAGGAAGTTGGTAAGCTCACCCATCATACTCATTTCAAAATTTTGTTGCATGGAGGAGGCAAACTCTACACACATAGCTTCATTAGTAGCACCAAAAACTATGTCATCAACATAAATATGGACTCATTATTATGTTTCTTTAGAAAGAGAGTTGTGTCAACAGAATCCCTGACAAACCCTTCACTCTCTAGGAATTGAGTTAGACATTCATACCACGCTCGAGGAGCTTGTTTTAAGCCATAGAGAGCCTTTTTAAGTTTGAAAACATGGTTAGGGAACCTATGATCTTCAAAACCAGGAGGTTGTTCTACATAGACCTCTTCATGAAGGACTCCATTCAGAAATGCACTTTTGACATCCAATTGATATAATTTGAAATTCATTGAGGAAGCAAAGACACATAATAGTCTAATTGCCTCAATTCGAGTTACGGGAGCAAATGTTTCATCATAGTCTATTCCTTCTTCTTGATTATAGCCTTTAACCACCAATCTAGCCTTATTCCTTTTAATTATCCCTTGATCATCTGTTTTATTGCGATAGACTCATTTAAGTCCTAGAATAGTTTTACCTATTGGTCTAGGAACCAAATCCCATACTTGAGATCTAGCAAATTGAAGCATTTCTTCTTGCATAGAAAGAAGCCAACTTTCATTAAGTAAGGCTTCCTTAATGTTTTTAGGCTGAATTAAGGATATAGAGACTGTAGCAAGAAGTGAAAAGTAAGAAGTCTGACCTTGATACAAGTCCTTACTTGATCTTGTTTTGACTCCATCATTAATGTTCCCAATGATTTGATGCGGAGGATGTGCCTTGGCAATATGAGGTGGTGCACTTGGCTCTTGGGATTTGGATAACTCATCATGCAAAAGCACCGCTTCTTGAGTGACTGAAGTTGTCGTCGTTCGAATTAGTCCCAAGTCATCTTTATCATCGTCCTGTTTTCTTTCATGCTCAGAGATATAGTCAGTTTCATAAAAAAACAACATGTATTGATTCCTCGACCTTCAAGGATCTCTTATTGAAGACTCTATAGGCTTTACTACGAGTAGAGTAACCCAAAAATACTGCCTCATCTAAATTTGAGTCAAATTGTCCTAGAGCATCCTTAGTGTTGAGTATAAAGCATCTACACCCAAATGGTCTAAGATAACTAATATTTGGTCTCCGATCTTTCCAGATTTCATAAGGGGTTTTTTCTATGATGGCCCTAATCAATGTTCTATTTAGAACATAACAGGGGGTAGCTACTGCTTCAGCCCAAAATATTTTGGGAGCCTATAGTCACTAAGAATTGTTCTAGCTAGTTCTATAAGAGCTCTATTTTTTCTCTCCACTACACCATTTAGTTGGGGAGTCCTAGGAGCTGAAAATTCATGGGAGATTCCTAGTTGATCACAGAAGTTTCCAAAGATTTCTGAATCAAACTCTCCTCCATGATCACTTCTTATGCTTTTAACACTGAGGGATTTCTCATTCTGAATATTTTTGAAAAGGATCTTGGAATTTCTCAAGAGCTTCATCTCTGTGAGTCAAAAATATTACCCAAGTATATCTAGAAAAATAATCTACTATGACAAAGGCATAATACTTTCCACCAAATCTCATCACATTCGTAGGCCCAAACAGATCTAGATGTAGGAGCTCTAAAGGTCTGGATGAGGTGAAGTGAGATATACTCTTGAAGGTTACTCGAGTTTGTTTTCCTAGAATACATGCATCACAAAAGAAGTCCTTAGATTCTTTTAATTGAGGAAGACCGTCTACTAGACCCAATTTAGCTAATTTAGCCAATCTCTTTATGCTAACATGTCCTAGTCTTCGATGCCATTGAAATTGCTTGTTCTTACCTAAAGAGAGAAAACAAGTTTCATTGAATGAAGCCTTTTTACTAAGGTCAATGACATAGACATTGTTTTTCCTAACCCCTAGGAATAATAATTTGTTGTCTTTGATTCTCTCAATACGACATGTCTTCGGTTGAAACACAACTCTATTAGTTGTACCACATAATTGACTAATAGATAACAGGTTGTGCTTAAGACTATCAACAAATAACACTTGAGTGAAGGTATGATTTGGAGGCTCTCCAATAGTACCAACTCCAAGTATTCTACCTTTACCATTATCACCAAAGGTTACTTTACCTCCCTTTTTAAGAGTCAACTCTGAAAAGAGACTCTTATTTTCCGTTATATGGTGAGAGCATCCGCTATCTAGATACCATTCATTTGCTCCTGCTCTCTTAATGACCTGCAAAATATTTAAAGTGCTGATTTTGGTACCCAGACTTGCTTGGGTACCTTTTTCTTGGGATACGATTGATATGAGCTATAATAGTTATTGTAGTAGCAATTTCTCCTAATGTGTCCTTGTTTATGACAACAATAGCATACAATTCTTGAATGACATTCTTGTTTAGTGTGTCCTTTTCTAGTAAATTTACTACACCTCACATTTTTCTTGCATTCTTTCCTATGGTGACTCTTTCCACAATTCATGCACCTAATTTTGTCATTATCTCCACTATGAGCATTACATTCAACACACATAATTGATTTATTATGAGGTTTTTGCACCTTTTCTTTAGACTTCTTTTCCTTGTCTTCTAATCGCTCTATCTTGGTATTTGCTTCAAGAAGTTTAGTCCTAGAGTCTATTATCATTCTTTCCAGTTCATTATTTCTAACTCTCATATCTTCTAGTTCTTCAAGGGGTCTATTATTCTTGAGTTTACCCTTTGATTTCTTCAGAACTTGATTTTCTTCACGTAATATTGCAATATCCTCTTTTAATTCCTTAATTTCATTCTTGCTTAGTTTCAAATCCTCTTTTACCTTGTAGTATCTATCTTTTAGTTTTTCAAAATGATTTTGCATTTCTTCATATGCTTCAACTATACTACTACGAAGATTTGAGCTACAATCACTATCATAAGTTGGAAAGGATGAACATACCTCATCTTCATGTGATCTTGACGAAGAGGATCCATCATCACGGTTGGCAAACGCCATATAGACTTGTATTTCACTTTCGTTATCTTCACTTTCATCTTCTGATCCACTCCAAGCCACTGCATAAGCCTTTTCTCTACTCCGTCCTTTGTTAGGACATTCAGGCCTTACATGACCACTCTTTCCACATTTGTAGCATTTTGGTAAACCTTGATCTTCACACTCACTTTCCACTTTATTTTTCTTCTTTTGATTATCAAAAGATTTTACCTTACCATTTCTATTATTCCCACGAAAATAGAAAGAACAACCCCTTGTTTTCTTTCTAATTTTAAAAACTTTTTGAAAATTTTTGAAATGAGAGCAAATCCCTGATCGAAATCATCTCCTGATCCGTCATCATTTGTGACTTTCTTCTCGCAGGCCTTGAATGCTAAACTTTTATTTTTCTTGTCATTATTCTCATCACCTTGAGCTTTTAAGGCAATTTCATGACTAATTAGAGATCCTATCATATTTTCAATACTAAGAGTAGATAGATTTTTAGCCTCTTCTATGGCAGTTTTCTTAGGCATCCATTCTTTGGGTAGACACCAAAGAATTTTCTTGACCAGTTCAGCATTATCATAGATTTTTCCTAACACACTAAGTCTACTTACTATTAAGTTAAACCGAACATACATATCAGAAATAGACTCACCTGGGTGCATTTTGAACATTTGATATTCATGCACCA